CGCGGAAGAAGCCGGCGGGGGCCTGGACGGCGGGCAAGGCAAGAGGAAGAGGCTGTTCTCCAAAGAACGTGAGTCGAGCCGGGCCAGAAACCCCTTGCCCGGCGCTGACGGGTCACTGGGGGCTGCAGGGCTCCCCGCGGCATTTAGGGACGGTGTCCCTCCCGGGCACGCAGCTGGAACCCTGAGGAGGCAGCTGTGGTGTTCCAAGACTCGGTTTTCTTTAGCAAAACAGCAGCTTTCATTCTGCACCCTGGCTGAAAGTGCAGAAAGCTGTCGCGTAGACCCCTCAAAAAATATTGCTAATGCATCCTCTGAACCTAACGGTGCTGAAAGCCGGCCACCCTGTCAGCCAGTGTTCAGCATTTGGTAGGGTAAATGCATATTTAAGGAGTCTGTCATCAGACATGCTTTCCTGTATGTACAGCACTAGGCTTTTGTTGGCTTCTGTCTACCTGCTTATTTCCTACACGTTTTGCTCAAGAATTGCCCTGCCCAACAGACACGAGTGCCATCCTGGCGCGTGAACGCGTCAGGCTGGTGAGCTCAGACAAGATGCGTGCTGCTGACAGCCCTGGATGGATGAAAGAAGCCTCACGCTGAGCGTTTCTTTCTGCAGTAAGATGCATGATGTATGGATTCGGGGACGACCAGAACCCTTACACAGAATCAGTGGACATTCTTGAGGACCTGGTAATAGAGTTTATCACAGAAATGGTAAGTCAGCTCTAGGCAGCATAGTCAAAATATCCTCACCCAAGACTTCAGTCTCCTGGAGGTTTATACCACCTCTGGCTCAAATATTGCATTATCCCAGGCCCAAAACTCTGACACTAGTAGGAAAACGCTTAGACTTTGTTCTTCCAAGTTTAAAGCAAAATTCATGCATCTTGCTCCATGTGGATTTAGAATGGTGGCTGAAGTCCTTAAGGAGCGGTTAGATTAGCACTGGTGATGGGAGACGCACATCTGACGTTGGGGCTCTCTGTGGCATCATTATACATGCAGCTGACAAAAGACAAGGCTCAGCTTTGAAAGTATCAAATTCTTGTGTACTCCGAGTGTCTTTACATGGATGGGAACGTAGCTCTGCAATACAAAAGAAATGCAAGCTTCTGGGGCCTGAAGCCATTGCTCTTCCAGACACTTGGATACTGTTTGAAAAGTTTGGGGTGGGTTTGTTTTGGTTTTTGTTTTGGTTTTTTTTGAAAAAAAAACTTCCTACTGTTTGTAGATCCCCTTTCTTTTGCAAGGTTGGCCTTGCCTTCCCTCATCAAAATGCCCTAAACTGTCCTGTCATACAGATACTTCACACATTGCTTCCAAGTTCTGCCTGATGCTGTTCATCTTCAAGCATGCTGCAACGTTGGGTGTCCTACACATGATCTGGCTTTAGTTTTGATGTCATTACTGTTATGGGTATATAGTGACATGTGCTGGGTGTAAGTGATGGGCAGCTGGGGACAGCAGAGTGACAGCAAGTCCATGGTTTACTGGGAAGTTCTCTTGTGACTAGGATAGTCGTGCCCAGATCCTGCAATTGCTTACTTTTTGATTATAAAATGACAGGAAATTAAGTGGAATTGATATCTTAAAAGAAATTAAGGAACCCTGCTGATTTTCCTCTTTTCCTCTAACAGACACACAAGGCCATGTCAATTGGGCGGCAGGGTCGTGTACAGGTTGAGGACATTGTCTTTCTAATCCGCAAGGACCCCCGGAAGTTTGCCAGAGTTAAAGACCTCCTAACTATGAACGAAGAACTGAAACGAGCCAGAAAGGCCTTTGATGAAGCGAACTATGGATCTTGATGCTGCACGCAGGCTGCACTGGGGCATTACTTGGGCACCTGCTGCCCAAAAGGAAGGAATGTCCTGTGTGTCGTTTGGAGGGGTTATTCAGGATGGAGGTCACTGCTGGGATGCCTGCCCTTGCTCCCAGCCTTTTCTGAAAGGTATTCAAGCAGCTGAATGTTATCTGATTGTACATGGTATGCTTGCATATTTTTATACCATTTTATGAAATGAAAAAAGCACTCTAAAGATTCTTGTAATGGCAGGAAGTCTGTTAGAAGTAGGACTGTGTTGAATCAGATATCTAGAGCGCTAACATTGGGTGATTCTCTGCAACTGTTTCAGTTATTGCTGGCTATTCCTGTGACAGGAAACCTAGAAAATGGATCTTTGTTAACTGGAAAGAGTCTTCAAGGCCAAACTACTACAGAAGTTCTGCTCTTTGCTTTGTGTATGCTCTTTGAATAAAACATTTTAAGTTTGTGCCCACTCCTCATAACTAAACTTAACACTGATCAATTCACATAAGGTGTGTAACACAGGAGTTTTAGCACTTAATTGGTTAGGAAGGTTTTTTTCTTCTTCTGTCCCACTGGGCACAGCTCTTTTGTTTTTTACCAATCTTAAGCCTAGGAAATTGAAGTTAACCTCTTCCAGATTTACTTGCATTTACAGCCTTTCCTTTCTGCTGTTTGATGGGTGCTCTACACCAAAGCAGATTCCTGTTTTTCATTCTGAGATTTTTTTCTTAGTATTTCCTGGTGATCCTGATCTTAGGACTTGGTTATAAGCAAGAGCCTGGCAGAAAGCACTAACCCCATTGTTTGTTCTAACATTATTTCGTTAATACATGTTGGAGTAGGTGTGCCTCACAGCATTGCTAAGCAGGCAGAAATTGCACTTACATTAAAAAGATTTCAGGACAGTGAGAAACATGTTCACCAGTCAGGAGCTTACTGTTGCAGGCTACAGCTGTGCTTTCCCCTATTTCTGGAGGGGCTCAGAGGCAGTAGGTTTGGTTAACTCCTCATTTCAAGCCTTCCGCAGTGGATGGTAACTGTTTGCACTGTGGATTTGACAGCAGCACTTAACATATGGCCGAGCAATAGAGAAGCCACACTGAGTAAGGGTAACTCAAAGTCACTGTTCCCAGACAAGGCTAGGTAAAAGGAGGAAGACTATTCAGCTGTTTGGAATGCCTTTCCATAAAAAAAAAAAAAAAACCAAAAAAAACCAACAAGCAAGCCCGTTTTACAAAAACATAATAGAATAGTTGCTACTTTCTTAGCAGAATTCAAGCTGTGAGCTACCAAGACACCATTTAGGGTTCTGAGGCTGTTACTTAAAAATTAATTGGAGTGACTTGACCCCCTTCCTCTTTGCAAGTCCACGGTCAGACACCCATTGCTGCAAAAATAGAATCAATATCCATGTTCTCAGTAGCTTCTTTCCACACAGGGCCAGGGCTTCCTTCCAGCAGCAGCTGCTTAGGGGTCCCTGCTGTGTTTAGTTTGACACAACCTGTATCAGCACTGGAATGTCCTTCCCAACTCGGAGGCCCATCTGGGTAAGCTCGGAGGATGAGCGATGTGCTGTTCTCACAGACCCCAAAAAGCTCAGAAGGTTTCTGCCGAACAGCCTTCAGAGTTCTCTTCAAGCACGCGGATGATTTGATCCTCCTCCGACAGAACCGTGCCCTGAGGTACTGCTTTGGCCAGCATCTATTTTGTGACCCATACAGGAGGTATTTACGGACAGATGTTTTGACACAGCACAGTTTTTTCTTCAAGCTTAAGGGGAGGAAGGTACACAAAAATGTAACTTCATCAGCTATTAAAAGTGTTATTTCATTTGAGGTTTGGAGAGATTCAGTTATTAGCCTTCTCTACCATCTTCCTTGTCATACCAAGGAGATACAGCAGCACCTTGTACAATAGTAGCCAGGGCATTCTGAAGACAGACGACACCCCTTGCATCATATAATTGTTACTGTTAAACATGCACATGATTTAAGTTGCATTTTCATCCTCCCTCTTAAGAATTTGTGCATTTGTTAGCCTTTTAAATCCTTTCACAAATGACTGAAGCTAAACAGACTGTTCACGTCAGAGCATCCAGCAACCTGAACCAGTGATCCCATTTGAGTTTAAAAAGAATGGGGGTTAGACCACTGTGTTTCTTTATATTGTAGCAAAATACATAATATTAAAATATAGTGTCAGATCCAGAAACCCCACACCCATGCAAAATTACCTGCATCCTTGAGCCTCCACGTGGTGCAGTCGGTTGCTTTTCAACAACTTGTTACGCAGAAAATAAGCTTCCGATTTGAATTTGTTGCCTTTGCACCACAGAATAGCTTTTCTGAGTGCCTCTGACAGTTCCCCAAATGACGTAGCTGTTTGGACCATCTGTATAAGAGATTCAGCATGCTGCGATTTTGCTATACGAGAGGAAAGTGATGCCGACTTTGCTTTAAAAGGTGTTGATGCAATGCTTATACCCTGAAACAAAACCAGAAAGAGTCATAAAAAAAAAAAAAAAAAAGATGACATGCCTGATCCCCTCTGCTGGAGAGGAGCAGAGCACTGAGGGGTTTGTGAGAACATTCCTTATTTCCTAAGGAGAAAGTGGAAGAGCAGTCTGGGTTTGTGGAATACGAAGAGAGACAGATAGTTAGAATTTGTATTCCTGCCTACTACCGACTTGCTCTCTGGTCATTTCACTTGACATACCAACAAATGCTCAAATTCCTAAGCAGAAATTAGTACTGATTTTCAGTGCAAAGCTTCCATGCTAACTTGGGTTGTTAGACAAGCAAAAATACGGCAGGGAAAAGCAAATTTTCAGTCAGGGATATCATGTTTTGAGTGTTAGGGTCTTTAAAGTTAAAAAAATGTGTAAAACAGTACCATACAAACCTCTTGTGCTGGAGTTCTGGATGGTCTAAGTAAGCTTTTAATGTCAAATCCCAGGTGCTTCCCTACAAAGAGAGAGGAAAAGAGAGACAAGAGTTCCCATTACAAAGTAAAGACATTTTTAAGTCTTTGCACAGAGACACCGCAATGCTTTGCCCTGTGGAGCTCTCAGATCTCTTGCCGGCTCACACCTGTGCTCTACATTTCTAGGCCAGCTCAAGGGGACTACCCTCATCTTGCATGGCAGCCTGCAAGGGATGAAGAGGATGCAGAGATTTACAGATGGCAACAAAGGAGAACTTAATGGGTAAAAGCTTCACGCAAAGACGTGGATGCCTGCAGTCACTGGCCATAGCCCTGACTGTGGGGCAAGACTTGGGCACAGCCCAGAACCAACAAGTACATGATACTTGCATGCTGTACTTACAGCCTTATCTACTCCTGTGTGGACTGCAGACAGTGCTCTTAGCTTCCCTCACTATCCTTGGGGCCCATCTACGCAGAAGCAGGAAAATACAAATAACTATTTACAGCACCTGTATACTGCATTCATGACCTGCTTCTCTCCAGGCTGTACCATGCTAACAAAAAAACCCCCGACAACCAAACCCTCGCAATACTGATGTTATCCACAGCTTTATACAGGCAAGGTACACGCAGCATTCTCCTCTTCCAAGAGCAGGAGAGGGGAGCTTGTACTAGAACCACACTCTGTGGGTAGTAGAAGTGCTTGGCTCTGTTAAACAGAAGTTGCGGTCAGTCTCTGAAATGTCAGAAACCAGTAAGCACTGTGGCACAAGGCTTTACCTCTGCTGGCTCTGGTGACCAGAACTGGCTCTCCGATGTCCGCAGGGCGTGGGATGCTACGCTTTTTCACAGCACTTGTGCAGGTCGCAAAATTTCTCTTTTCCCCAAGCTCTGACACTGCCTCTGGCATTGTTGGGAAGAGTTTCTTCAGCCAGCTGGTATTTTTTTTTGTTGTAATCATTCTAGCCTTTTGCTTCTTCACCTCAGAAGAAACGTTAACTCCAAGGAAGTTAGTGATATCAGAAGGGAAGGTAAATCCCTTGATATAAGGCATCTGTTGTGTCTCGGATACCAGGTGAAGTGATGTCGACAAAATGCCATACAAGGACACGAGGCTCTGTAATACGCACCTGTACTGAATCCTGAAGAGAGAAGACAGAAAGGTAGGGAGTCTCCTCTAGCAAAACCTGTGCTCACTGAACAACTACCTCCAGCTCAAGCAGAAGAGCTGATGGCAGAAATTCCAAGCTGCCCTTTCCCTGGTCCCCCTCGATACAAGCTTATCTTTCTACACTCCATCACCACACTTTCCTTAATTTTAGTCTGAGCTGTAAGGAACTGTTCAAGATCAGAATGTAGGAGTGACTTGACTAGTAAGCTCCCCATCAGGAGCCCCTCTTGCTGACCTAGAGCTTTGCTGAGTGCCACACCTGGGACCCATCAGGTTCTCAGGTTATGTCCAAGTCATTTGACATGAGGTTTTCCCCCAAAACCAACCTGTACCAACCCAGGACAATGGTGGTAGCATCAATGCCATAAAATCGCCTGCTCTACATTTACTGGAAAGACAGATTTCTTGTGCCAAAGAACATTTTGCCAAGTTCTTCTACACAATGCTGTTACTCCTTCAGCTACAGACAGCAGTCAATTTCTCATACTGAGACCAGAACACTGATTTCCCTGGAAAACTCAGCAGTATTATAGAACAACTTTATACCAGCCTTTCCATTGCAGCATGAGGCAGGACTTACTGCTGGCTGCAAAGAGTACCAGATGCTAGTGCTTGTGGCAGGCTGGCACTAATACTGTGATTTTATTAGTGCTACATAAAGTTTGCTATGAACCAAGAGCAAAGCCTTCTGTAACAGCATGCAAGAAGTCTCTTTCCACTTATACACCTCTGCAGGTGCTAGAATCAAGTCCAAAAGGATGGAGGGCCCCTCCTCCCCCTCCCAGCTTAACAAAGCTCACTCAGCAGCAAGGCCTAATTACAAGCCCTTCTCCCTGACAGGCACGTCAGACAGACAGACAACAATCAAGACAGACTTTTGAATACACAAACCATAGCCGGCTCAACAACCCCGAAGCCACAGTGTTCAGAAGTATGAATTCTTCTGAGCAGAGATGTTTAACGGACAAGCTGAAGATTACAGCAGTTAAGGTTAAAAAATAAACAGCATGTAATGAGACTTGCTGAACACACCAACTAGAGGCAATTGACAAGGCAATATCCTGGATAGTTTGGGAGATGAGTATCCAAACTTTGGGTTGTTCAAAGCCGGAACAGCAGACAGCCAACAGCCTGAGGTTCCTACGGAATAACTTGAGAATAAAATGTTTGGCTATCAAGAGAAACTTCAAGTTGCATGTACTAATTGCACAGTTGAGTCCATCAGCAATACAGGGCCTAAAGCAGACCTAGTTTTCATCTCACGAGGTGCTGCTGGTGAACTGTAAAAATGTTTCCATTGTGAAAAAAGGATACAGAAAAGCTTTACAGCAACGGTCCAGTAGACGTAGTATGAGCTTGCAACCTCCCAATACCTTCAGAGCCACCGTTTCCAGCATAGGCTGGCTGGGAACTAAACATTCTGCATGGGCTTGGGATGTATTTTTCCTGCGTTGAAACAAGGATGAGGAGATTGTTACAATCTAGCACACCACCACCACCACCACCCCCCGCCCTTTAGCTCACAGGCTAAGTTAATGGATAGTATAATGCACGTGATCATGACACTTACTTGGGAATCAGTCCTGCCAGAGTGTCAATGCAGCCCACCAGGTTCATCTTCCACAGGCGCTTCAAGCATTGCTCTACCTAGAAAGACAACTCCTCTGACTGGTATTTTGAGAGATGGGAGTGCCTTGGTCTAAGAACTGTCACTGTATTAAGATACCTTCCCCTGATCAGTTTAACAGCATAAATTGCAGGTTTCTGTGATGAACTATTCTGGTATGTTCCTATATCTGCATTATGATGAAAATGATCACTTTATCACACTATTGTGAATATGGAATTAAGTGAAGGCCTGGAGTAGGCCATTAAATGGTGCTACATGGTTTCCCCTGCCGTATACAATGGCCTTTGGTACTGGCTTTCAAGAATGAAAATGCATAAGCAAATCAAGAAAGTAAGAATTATTCCTGTTCTATTTCAAAACAGTTATTTGAAAATACTAACAATCCTTTCCTTTACTGGAAAACCAGTAAGGAGTTCAGTTTTCAACTTAAACCAAAAAGTGCCTAATAGAGTAGCCTAGGATCATCCTCTCCTCTCCTATTATTACCATTAATTGAAAATGAAATCTCTGTATTACTCCTATGTTCAATAATTAAGCAATTGTACCTACTTCAGGTCTCAGTGTAAGTCTAGGAGGACGAGTATTGGTTCTACAGGGCTGGAAAGCAGAAATTGCTCTGGCTGCACAGAGCCAGGAAACCCACAGAACTAAACAGTGAGGAGGCTTAAAGATGACAAAAATCCACCTGCTCC